GCCTATTTAATTTCAATAATTTCCGTTTATAACATCTATAGTTATTGTCCTTGTTTCACTTTGTTGAACCTTGTGAACGCTCTAATGCCAAAAGTTAACATCCGATCCTTGTGAAATCTATATGCAATATTTAAATTAGGGAAACGAAGAATCCAGGGCATCATTTCTGTAAAACATGCAGGAGTCACAAAAAGCTCTTGCGCTTAAATTTCCGGGAGCACATAAAAACGCACCCGCAAATTTGCTCGCAAGAGCTTTTTTTTACCATCTTTTAGTCAATATTTCTATTGATTGTATCCAAATTCTAACAGACAAATACGCTCATTGAACATGCCATTGGTTGTCAAGTACTCGATTTACCGGTCTTATGCGTAAAACTGAAAACACTACCTTGGACGTTCGCGTAAATCTCTGGCTCAATGCCAAAGGCAGGAAAGGAATGTATATATATCGTGATTATCCAGACGCTTTCTATATGACCACGACAGAAATTCATAACGTTATATTTATTCAAATTTCACAATCAAAAACTCTTACAATACTAACACTGTAACATGAAAATCATTTACTTTAAAAACGATCAATCGTTTATTACTAATGTAATACTATCAGTCGATCACTAATAAATAATAATGTATCGTGAATGCAAACGTCATGGAGAGACTTGACAACCGAGCTAATAATCTTCAATCCAAATGTCTCGATACCATAAAAAAACTACTCTTCACGATTTTCGGATACAATAATATTTTATTTTACTTTTCAAGCTCGACTTTCTTGATAAAACTGTCGAAATTGTCTGAATTTTTAGCAGGAGCTATAACCTGCGCTTGTGTTTTCAAGATTACAGGCGCAGACGGGCACGAGCGCGCAAACGCCCGTCAAAGATGATGCCCTGAAAAGCCTATTGAATTTCAGCAATTCCCGTTTATTACTTTTAGAGTTATGGCCCTTGTTTCACTTTGTTTAACCTTGTGAACGCTCTAACCCCAAAAGTTATCATCCTATCTTTCTGAAACTTATATGCATTATTTAAATTAGTGAAATGAAGAAGCCTATTTAATTTCAATAATTTCTGTGTATTACATCTAGAGTTATGGCCCTTGTTTCACTTTATTGAACCTTGTGAATGCTCTAATGGCAAAAGTTAACATCCGATCTTTGTGAAATTTATATGCAATATTACTTTTAGAGTTATGGCCCCTGTTTCACTTTGTTTAACCTTTCGAACGTTCGAACCCCAAAAGTTATCATCCTATCTTTCTGAAATTTATATGCATTATTTAAATTAGTGAAATGAAGAAGCCTATTGAATTTCAGCAATTTCTGTGTATTACATCTTGAGTTATGGCCCTTGTTTCACTTTATTGAACCTTGTGAACTCTCTAATGCCAAAAGTTAACATCCGATCTTTGTAAAATTTGTAGAGCGGGCGATTCCAAAAACCATGACTAAACCAAAACTTTTCAATAAACCATAGTATAATGACGATTGCAAATCCGCTCTAAAAGAGCATAATCGTATCATGAGACAATTAAAGAACCATCCTTCCATGGAGAATATTGCGGCATACCAGATTGTCCGGGCGAAGGCCCGTAGAACCATACGTCAAGCAAAGAAGTCTTCATGGCAAGGTAACGTCTCTAGGATCAATTCCCGTACAACATCCAAATCGGTATGGGATAGGATTCGTAGGATTAAAGGTAAAAGTAGTGCATTATCAGTTAACCATCTAAATGTTGATAATACCAGCTTAACAACATTTCCTGATATTGCTAATTCTCTGGCCAGTAGTTTCTCATTCAATTCATCATCCAATTTCTCCTCTGATGCCTTTCGGGGCATTAAAGCACAAAAGGAGAAAAGGCAGCTTAATTTCAAGTCCTGCAATGATGAATGCTGCAATGGAAATTTCTCTGTTGCTGAGCTCCGGGATTCATTAAAGCGAGCTCGTGACACTGCAACTGGTCCCGATGAAATTCATTACCAAATTCTTAAACATTTACCTTTTCCAACTCTCTTAATTTTATTAGATCTTTTTAATGGGTTGATGGGAATTTCCCCCCCTCGTGGCATGAACCTACAATAATTCCCATCCCTAAAATTAAACAACTATTGTCCGATCACTTTAACTAGTAGTATTTGCAAAACCATGGAGAGATTGATCAATCGAAGGCTTGTTTGGTACCTTGAGTTCGACAACCTCATTTACAGACCTCCAATGTGGATTTCGATCCCAAAGGAGCACTCTTGATCATCTCATTCGATTTGAAACGTTCGTCAGGGACGCTTTCATCCAGAAGCAACATTTAGTTGCAATATTTTTCAATCTGGAGAAAGCATGTGGAAATATGGTATCATGCGCGACCTCCATAACCTTGGCCTACGAGGTCGCTTACCTATCTTCATTAAAAATTTCCTGGAAGATAGGTCATTTAAGGTACGCCTGGGATTAATATTCTCTGACCCATTTCCTCAGGAAATGGGAGTTCCTCAGGGAAGCATATTGTCTCCAACACTCTTTGCAATAAAAATTAATACCATCCCAGCGTGCCTTGAACCAGGTACAACCGGCGCTCTATATGTTGATGACTTTCAGATGTGCTATGGTTCTACAGACATGTGGATAATCAAACGCAAGTTGCAGCTTTGTTTGAATTCACAACCAGGGACTTAGAATCCGTTTAGGAGCATTTCGTACATCTCCAGTGGACAGTTTATACGTCGAGGCGCATGAGCCCTCACTGCACAACAGACGCGATAAACTGGCCCTACAGTATGCTACGAAAATAGCATCTTTACCAAATCATATTTCATTTAACACCATATTTAGACCATATCATGAGCATCTATATCTGCTTAAGACTAAAGTTATTCCAGTATTGCGAATACCCCTTTCTTTAGGACTCCACCGTGGGCTATATCTCCCCCAAAGATTGATTTCGATTTTACACAACATAAAAAGAGAGATACTAGCTCCACGATGTTTCAGTCTCTCTTTTAGAGAGCTAAGGTCTAAATATGGTGATTATGCTCCAATATATACAGATGGTTCGAAAGATGGTGATCGGGTAGCTTCGGCTACCGTGCACCATCTGTCCGCCTTCCACCTGCTGCTTCCATCTTTACAGCTGAACTCCAGGCCATTCTTCAGGCTTTGGAGTTCATTCAATCAACATCTGATTTAATCTGATTCTTTGTCTTCACTACAAGCAATAAATAATAAACAGCTTGAACACCCATTAGTAGCAGACATTTATGGTCTGTTACTATCAACGAGTTCATCAGCAAGGACATTGTCCTTTGCTGGCTCCTCAAGTCACATGAATATAAAGGGAATGATCAAGCAGATTTGACTGCCAAGTCTGCCTTAGATCTTCCCTTTTTCGAATTTTTAACGCCATACACGGATTTTAAATCCTGTATAAATAATTTTATTTATGACCGCTGGCAACGGTCTTGGGATCTTGCAGGCACAAACAAACTTCATCACATAAAGCCTCTCCTTGGAGAATGGCCAAGCTCCTACAGGTCTAACAGGAGAGATGAAGTTGTTTTGTGTCGCTCTCCCATTGGTCATACTTTTTTAACGCATATTTTCATTTTAAAGCGAGAGCCTCAACCAGAATGTGAACACTGTCATGTTCCTTTGACAGTTAAGCACATTTTGATTGAGTGCAAGCATCTCAAAGATACAAGATTACGGCATTACCGTTGCCAATCACTTCACAGTTGTTTGCCCAACCGGGTCTATATTGTAATGCGCTAGATTTTTTAAAGGAGACAAAATTTTTATCGGAAATTTTAATTGTATATATCTGATTTTCCCATTCATGTTTTAAATATATATACATAAAGTTTATATTTATTTTTATTTGGTATTTACTGCGATATTTGTTTTTATTTATGTATATATAATATTGTGATTATTTATTTCTAGTTTGTCTCGAGAAACCTCACTATATGTTTGGCGCAATATAGCCTGGTTGAAGCTGACGTGCCATTAAACAACATTTCATTCATTCATTCATTAGCCCAGACGGAGCAAAACTATAGGACATTAAACCCCATTTCATTTCATTTCCAAAGACCATTAAAATTTAATTATATCTCTTGGATTTTGAGAATTTGATTTTCTAAGACCTGATATGGGTGAAAAATAGAGTACGGAAAAATGCAAGTTAAAAGTTTGATGAACGGTTTGGTTGTTGTGGGCAACCGGAATTTGCGAAAGACGAATGACCCTATAATCTTTAAAGGCCCATATCTCAGCTACTAATGGACCAATCACAATGAAATTGGTATCAATGAACCAGGAATTGCCCAGGGATTCCAAAAATGATGACATTGAAGATAAAAATTTGTGGAAAAACAAAAAAAAATTACATCTCCAATTTTTTCACAAGACGAAGAATCCTATTGATTTTCAACAATTGCCGATAATTACTGTCAGAGTTATGACACTTGATCACTTTGAGACCAACATGTTAAAAGTTTCATTTACTAAACGTTAGCATGGGGCAGAACTTTATAAAAACCAAACAAATTCTAATGGTTTTCTGATAATTACTTAATGAGTTGTTACTCTTAATCAGGATCTAGTGTATTATAAATTTTTCATTACTGGAAAAAGTAAAAATATGCGACAACTCTTGTTGACTGCCTGGATGATTTAGCTGCTGTGGGCGTATGTTTTGTTACCTGGCAACCTATCTTTGGAAATTTCGGTTGCATATAGCAACCAAACCGTTCATCAGATTTCGTTAAAATTTGGGAAATCAGGGGTGCCACCCCACATAAACATGTACATAAAATTTCATGAAAATCCTAGGAGGTGGGGTTAAAATTTTAAATTTTGGGGGGTGATCTGACACAGAATGACCCAAGCTCTTGGGGTCAAAGTTAATATCTGATTGACTTTAAACTTGTACTCTGTGTTAATTAAGGTCATGAGACAAGTATTATGTTAGCCTTATAAATTGCTTTTTCGCATATTTCAGCAACAGTTAAATAATCAAATACAAAAAAAAAGGGGACGTCCTACTACAAGTACTGCTATTTCTCAGGAGTTCAGAATTCCACAAGCTAAACCATCAGTTTCTGCAGGTCAAGGTAAAGGTCGCCCAACAAGGTCGAATAGTGTTGAACTGAAGACTGCTGAAATTTTGCCTTGTGAGTATATTAGAGCTGCATAATATAATAGAACTTTCCAAAGCATGATGCTGGATTTGAGTGCTATGAGACGAAGTCTAATCGTGAGACAAAGAATCATACAATTACTTTCAGAGTTATTTCCTGTATTTATTACTTATACGCCCACATTCTGTGTGGGCATATTATGTCGTCACCACCATGTACCTCGTTCTGTCTGTCAACAATTGGAAGGAAAGCTGTCTAGTCGTTTGGATGGAACGAAAAACCGAGGTCCCGTGTACACATTGGCGTGCACGTAAAAGATCCCTTGGCAGTTGGAATTCAATATAAGAGTAGGCCGTAGTGCCGCTGTCCGGGCAAAATTTCCCTCATAGCACACTGTATGGCAAATGCCTGTCTTCATTAGCCCAGGTTAGGTGCAGAACAGTAGGACGTTAAACTCCATTTCATTCATTTCTGTCAACAATTGGCTTGTAAACGTGTGAAGCATACAATGTAACCCCTGTATCGTCTAATAAGGGGTTTATAGCGCTAAAAACTATGCATATAGTTTAATTTCAAAATATCGTTTGATATTGATAAAAATCGTTTGGAAATTACAAAAATCGTTTAATTAGTACTATAGTTTAATTTAATGGTACACCGTTTCATTTCTCTGAGAGGCGTTTAGAAATGGCCGAAGCGTTGACTTATCTAATGCGTTTATTTATTAGACGAGCAGTCCAATTTCCCGAGAAGTGTTTAAAAATCAACACCTGTTAATTTATCTACTATGTTTAACTATTAGATGAATCGTTTATTTTCCCGCGAACCGTTTATCCAATCGGTTCGTTTTTATACGCCCACATTGAAATGTGGTCGTATATTGTCGTCCCCCCCGTCCGTCAGTCCGGCTGGCTCTAGAGACTAAAGTTAATATCCGATTTACTTTAAATTTATATACAGTGTTTAAGGCCATGAGACGAAGAAGCCTATTGCTTTTCAGCGATTTCCGATAATTACTGCCAGAGTTATGGCCCTTGATCACTTCAAAAAATCTTGTGGACGCTCTAGAGGCCAAAGTTAATAGCCGATTGACTTTAGATTTATACACAGTGTTTAAGGTCATGAGTCAAAGAAGCCTATTGATTTTCAGCGATTTCGATAATTACTTCCAGAGTTCTGGCCCTTGATCACTTCAAAAATCTTGTGGACGCTCTAGAGGCCAAAGTTGATATCCAATTAACTTTAAATTTATACACAGTGTTGGTCATGAGACGAAGAATCCTATTGATTTTCAGCAATTTCCGATAATTACTACCAGAGTTATGGCCCTTGATCACTTTGAAAAATCTTGTGCACGCTCTAGAGGCTAAAGTTAATATCCGATTGACTTTAAATTTATACACAATATTTAAGGTCATGAGACGAAGAAGCCTATTGATTTTAAGCGATTTCCTATAATTACTGCCAGAGTTATGGCCCTTGATCACTTTGAAAAATCTTGTGGACACTCTAGAGGTCAAAGTTAATATCCGATTGACTTTAAATTTATACACAGTGTTTAAGGTTATGAGACGAAGATGTCTATTCATTTTCACCGATTTTCAATAATTACTTCCAGAGTTATGGCCCTTGATCACTTCAAAAATCTTGTGGATGCTCTAGAGGCCAAAGTTAATATCCGATTGACTTTAAATTTATACGCAGTGTTTACAGTCATAAGACGGAGAAGCGTATTGATTTTCAGCAATTTCCGATAATTACTGCCCTTGATCACTTTCAAAAATCTTGTAAATGCTCTTGAGGCTAAAGTTAATATCCGATTGACTTTAAATTTATACACAGTGTTTGAGGTCACGAGACAAAGAATCCTATAGATTTTCAACGATTTCCGATAATTACTGCCAAACTTATGGCCCTTGATCACTTTCAAAAAACTTGTGACGCTCTAGAGGCTAAAGTTATCATCCGATTGACTTCAGATTGATAATTACTTCATGAGTTGTTACTCTTAATCAGATTTTAGTGTATTATAAATGTTTCATTACCAAAAAAAGTAAAAAATATGCGACAACATTTGTTGACTGCCCGAACGATTTATGTGTTGTGTGCACAATGGGCCTATTGTTATTTTCAGGTACCGTAAAGGTATCAGAATCTGAATCCCTGATAGAATAGTATAAATATCAATTATATTTGTTAAGAGATACTTACAGTTACAATATACCCGTTATTAACGGTAATATAATACAAATGGCGAACAGTTTTCTTGCTTAAGAATCGTCACTATTCAACTCGTTCTTACGTTTTCGACCAGTGGTGATAATATAATTTGAAATAATGATATCCGATAGGCATGCTAGTATTTTTTACATGCCATATATGAAGTCACTGTAAACAAACTCAGCTATCAAAATATTTAATTCTCTTCACAAGGAACTGTCGGTCATTTTGATTACATGTATATTATCATTTATTTTTTTTAAAGATACATTCCCGGGTACAAACTGTGTGATTTGATGATATTTGGACTAAACACATATTCAAACTAATTAATTTATCATAATTTTGCTTCAAATCCTTTTCAAAACATTGTAATTGCCAAGGAATGCCCTGCTATAAAAATCAATCAGAAGAGGTCATTTTTGTATCACGTGACTTACCTCTTATAGCAACGGCGGCGAAAACGAAGGAGAATTCATTGTGTACACATGACGATGCTGTCTGTAATCGCTGACTATTTATTACAAATATCGGATCCTAATTAAATTCTCTGATTATCCACTGCCCGCGTCTTTTCCCGTGATTTTTATCTCAGAAAGTGTTGTACGTCTTACTCTTCATAAAGTTTATCAACATGTACACAAAGCGCTCAATGTTTGCGTGCAGCATACAATGTCACACATGCAGATATTCCTAATCATCGGGCTGTCGATGAGGGGACCCCTTACATTTTTGTCCTGTATACACTCCATGAGTGTTTTTAAGGTAATCCAGTATTTTTCTAGTAAGATTGGATATCTCTACTTTCCATACATACCAAAATTGCCATACTTTTATAGGCAATAACCACCTGATAAATACTTTTCTGGGAATCTATCTTTAAGTTAAGACGAAACGAAACATAAAATAATCACGGCTTGGATTAATCATTAGGAGTAAATTGTGACTTGACATAGGCTTTATATATATCATTGGCAATTATCAATCAATTAATCACTAAAATAAGACAACTGATTAGTATTACTCATTAACGCGAACCTGATTATCAGCCAGTTGATTAATTTATAGTATCTCGCCACTTTCATATTTTTATCGCAAATTGCGACTTTGGCGACCAACGGTGTGAGCCCTGACCATCACAGAATTAAAAACCGTCAAAAATACTGTCTTCAGAAATATATCGAAAAACCGAAGTCAGCGCTCTTTTAGTTATCAAGCACCTGTTTTATGGAATAATCTACCATTTAGTTTAAGATGTTGTACATCTCTGTATTCTTTTAAAAAACAACTTAAAACACATTTATTTAATCAGGCTTTTAACTGACTCTGTATACAATCGTTAACATGCCCATAATCTTGTTGTTTATGTGTGATTTACATTGTCACTTTGTAAAGTGCCCCTGAACATGTTATATGAAAGGGTGCACTATAAATATGCTGTAATAATAATAATAATAATAATAATATTTAACACAAATATTGAGAAAATGTCTTCCTTTTTACGTTATTTACAATATTTTATTGGTTAATGATGAATAAAATAGCAATACATGCTGATATAATCTCCAGAGTGTTCATTCCACGAAGTTAGCAAATGCCAATAAAGAGCTTTGTTTACGTCGACCCTCCGACCGAATTATTCCTGCTTCCTTTCAATTTCTTGACGAATTGTTTATACAGATGCTTTGATTTTCCAAAGGAATCATTGATTTTCAGATTTCAATAAATTATAATAAAGCAGAAATATAATTAATGCCAACTATATTGAGAGTTCCGGTAGACTGATTATCATTCAGCGGTCCGTGAACCGGAAAAAAAAATATTTGACTAAATCAATGGTCATATTTGGACATAGTACTTATGTTTTATAGTATAATTTAGTATTTTTGCATTGCATAATGCATTTTAAAGTAGGTATGCGCTTGAATGAAAAAAAAAAAAAGAGTTTGTTCGGGTAAATGAATAGCATCCAATCGTAATCATAGTTATAAAAATCATGCACGGCCAAAAGAACACAAGCTTTTTTTTAAAAAAAATTTGTGCCTCCTTCATGTAAATACTCTTAATTTAAATAAAATATCATAATTAATATACTGGAAATCAAAATTGTAATAAACAACATAGACCATTATTTTTAGCAAGTCTTCATGGCTATAATTAGATCATGGACCTTATGATTGGATCTATGTTTGTATTAGCTGATGAAATGATGTTTGTAAATTTGGTACTGTATTTATGTTAAAAACTTTTGATAATATTGACTTGAAAGCGTCAAGTGAATGAATTCCGGTGGTATTTCCAACTTTTTAAAAAAATATCTACTACTCCTATGGCTTAGCTGCTGTGGGCATATGTTTTGTTGCCTAGCAACCTATCTTTATCATTTTATCATAATTACATTTTAGTCAAATTGAGGCAAACCAGAAAAAATTCAGGAACTACAGATAACAGTGATATTCAGTTTAGAGGTACGTTTATGTATTTGGTTTCACTCATTATCAGTGGGTAACTTTTATACCTATCTAGCCACCCATCCATTGTCCACATGTGTTATATTTAACAGATTGTTTTAAAATTTAGTGTACATATGAACAGGGCCGCGGAAGCAATTCTTGATTGGGGGGGCTACCATCCTAGGTCCTTAGGCGAGGCTCAAGGGGCCGCCTAGGCCCCGGAAGCGCTTGGGGATCTAGATCGTCGGAGACACTTTCTAAGCGATTACTGGCTAAAAAAAATACTCAGCAATGAAGTGAAATTTTATTTCATTTTTAACTCCCTTAAGGGGGGTTTATACAGAGCGCGAACGCGGCTTTTCGTCCTGGAATGCTCTAGTCATTTTAAGAGGCCCCGTTCATGCAGAGCGCGAACCCGAACAAATATTGGTGCACGCGAATGACCGCCTTTATTTCTTCCCGAGCGAATTTTTCAGAAGTTCGCGCAAACTTTTTTGCAATGAACCAATCAGCGGGCACTTCCCATGACATCATTTCCACGAATAGAAACCACTAGGCCTGATCGTTCCCACTAGTGTGCAATATTCACAGTCTTCTTGTAAAAGCAGATCCGGTTTCCTCCCACTGCTAAAGACCCCTATATGCGCAAATGAATTATTGAAATAAAATTAAACCATATGTTAGTCCCGAAATGACCTAGTTGTGTCGAGTGGACGTTAAACCCCATTTCTCTCTCTCTCTGTGAATGGAGAGTGAGAGAAATGGGGTTTAACGTCCACTCGACACAGACTAGGTCATTTTGGGACTAATATATGGTTTTAATTTTATTTCAATAATTCGCTTGCGCATAGGGGTCTTTAGCAGTGCCAGTGGGAAGAAACCAGAGGACCCGGAGAAAACCCACGAGGTTGGACAGGCAACCCTACTCCTTGTCACGTACAACTGGGGATTCGAAACCACGCCAGTTGACTCAATGACAGGCCTCATGATACAGCGCGTTCGTGCTGACCATTCGGACATCCCCCCCCCCCCCAAAAAGCAGAATGGACAAGACCGAAGAAATGATCATTGAAATCGAAAGGAATGTGATTCTTCTCTGTAAAATTTCATGCACTGATATTCACCTCTTTCTCTTCCTTCGATGTTTTATGTACAAATACAGTGCCAAGATCATGTCTGTCTGATTCCACCTAAGCCATGATAGCAAATGACAAAATTTATCTCTCACAGCTAGAAAAAGACAAGCCATCACGAAAGCCGATGGACGCATTCGAGTTCACACTCTGTATAAACAGGGCTTTACCATAAAAACACAATCTATGGTGGTTTAATCCTGTGATGCTGAACTTGACAAATATATGCATAATGCATTATGAAATTTACAATGTACATGTATACTGAAAGATCTCCGGTCCTTTCGATATTGGCGTATATAGGTCCGTCACTTCCTGGATTATGGCCCCTGATTTTAGGAACCGTGGACCCAGTAGAAGAAACAGTTTTTATTTGATTGTAAAAAAAACATTCAATTATAGCAGGTCAAAGTTTTTTATTCGAAATTGGCGAAACTTGAAATATAGGTCTATCTCCCAAAGATCTCAGTTTCTTTTGAAATTGGTATGTTTGGTTCCTTTCGCATATTCGCGCATATCTGATTGTAACTTTCTGGATTATAGCCCCTGATTGTACGAAGAATAGCGTTTTTAGCTTGTGGTCCCTCTAGAGGTTACAATTTTTATCCGATTTAAAAGGCATTCGAATATATCACCGTTACACCATAATTACGGTTGAGTTCACATTTCCTGAAAATGAGACCGAACTGCCCGACAAAATGGCCGCTCCCCTAAAAGCATATAATATTGAGTTTAGATCTAAATATTAAGGCCACGTGCAGATTTTGCCAATGTCACGTGATGTTAACACGACTAGCGCAAACCCTAACCAAAGATCTAGCCCTTACCCTAACTCACCTTGCATGGCAACCGCTTGTTTCAACTGGCCATAGAATTATTTGATGGATAAGGGAAAGAGTATAAATAAAACTCTATCCCGTCGTTTTTCTAATTACCTAATATGACACAGATATAACAGACATGAGATGGACTTGAAATAGTTATCTATTCGCGACCCTCGCAACCACGGGTCTCTTAACCCTGGGAACCGTATAGAGCATAGCAGGGGTTCTTCTCCTGAAAGTCTACATTCTAGAAGTCTCACTTCTACCCACTTCTATGTTAAATTCAAGCCTTTTTGTTTTTAATAGAATAGTTACTTGCATGCAACAACCTGGAGAAAAGGGTACTTGCGGCCAAAATATTTGGGAGGCTAAAACCCCCCCTAGCCCCCCTACTCCGCCGGGCCTGATGAAGCATTAGGGTAATGAGAGGACGAACCCTATCGATTTTCAGCTCTTTGTGACCTCTTGTTCTGGAGTTACCTCTCTTTTTTGTGAACATTTTGTTAACGCGATAGAGGGTACAGTTGTCAATAAATTGTGAAATTAAGTGTGAAGCATTCGGGACATGACAGAATAAACCTTATTGATATTCAGCATTCCACTATATTCAGAAGTTTGCAACCTTTCGTTACAGAGCTCCAACCACTTTTCTGCGTAGTACAAAAACATATATGACATGAAAACATATAATGACATTAAAAACATATAATACGAAATAAAAACATATATGACATAAAAAAACATATATGACATAAAAGATATATAATATGACATAAAAACATATAATATATGAAATAAGAACATATATGACATAAAAACAACCCGAGCTGTGAATTTATGAGACCAAGTTTTTCTAGACCAGTTTTTTTGCGTAGATTACGAATCTGGGTGGTGATCAGGTGTTTGAGGGGGCGTTTTCGAGATATGTGGGGTCCAATGTCTACAATTTGGGAGAAATGTCATTATGTTGATATAAATGATGATCATGTTATATATTACTAAAACATAAATTTCTAGGACTGTCCATCTCTAAAGAAGTGTATATGATGCCCCTGGACAACTGTTTTGATTTGTGGGGAGGTGGGGTGGGGTAGCAGGTGTGCGTGTATGGGGGGGGGTAAAATTGGCGGGAAATCAGTTCATATTGATTTAAATGATGATTTTCTTAGAGCTTGGTAAAACATTACTTTGTATAAGCCCACATTGAAATGTGGACGTATATTGCCGTTGCCGCCGTCCGCCCGTCTGTCGCCGTCCGTCCGTCTGTCGCCGGCCGTCCATCGATCACAATTTCTTGTGAACACTCTAACACCAAAAGTTATCATCCAATTGTTTTAAAATTGATATATGTTGTTTACATTAGTGGGATGAAAAGCCTATTTAATTTCAATAATTTCCGTTTATAACTTTGTTGAACCTTGTGAACTCTCTAATGCCAAAAGTTAACATACGATCGTTGTGAAATTTATATGCAATATTTAAATTAGGGAAACAAAGAAGCCTATTGAATTTCAGCAATTTCCGTGTATTACTTTTAGAGTTATGGCCCTTGTGAACTTTTAGAGTTATGGCCCTTGTGAACGCTCTAACGCCAAAAGTTATCATCCGATCTTTCTGAAATTTATATGCATTATTTAGATTACTGAAACGAAGAAGTCTTTTGAATTTCGGCAATTTCCGTTTAATACGTCTAGAGTTATGACCCTTGTTTCACTTTATTCATCTTTGTGAACGCTCTAACGTCAAAAGTTATAATCCGATCTTTCTGAAATTTATATGCATTATTTAGATTGCTGAAACAAAGAAGCCTATTGAATTTCAGCAATTCCTGTTTATTACGTCAAGAGTTATGGCCCTTGTTTCACTTTTATTAGGGTTTCACACTGCGTAGTTTGTGTGAAACACTATTGTTTTTGTTAAGATTATTAAGCTTTCATATTATTATTATTATTATTATTATTATTGTTCGATTTATATAGCGCTCCATTACACATGAGTGTTTCTAAGCGCATTCACAACAAAACAGTTCAAAAACATTTTTGAAATAAGTATGTTTTTAAGTTAGTCTTAAAGCTCTGGATGGAAGAGGACTCTCTAAGAGTTTTTGGAAGATCATTCCACATTTTAGCTGCTCTGACGGAGAAAGCATATTCACCAGAACGCTTATTATATTTGGGGATCCTCAATATGCTACGATCACTTGAAGAACGAAGGTTGGATCGCCGGGGAGTATAGAAATCAAAGAGTTCTTTTAAATAACTGGGTGCGGTGTCAGAATAAATTGATTTAAACACATTCACAAGAGCTTTAAATTGAACCCTCACTCGAACTGGAAGCCAATAGAGTTTCTGGAACTGATATATGATCAAATTTTCGTGTTTTAGTTATAAGACGTGCAGCATTGCTTTGCGCTATTTGTAGTCTGTTTAAAGCTGTTTCTGGTGCTCCTAATAGAAGAGAATTTGCATAGTCCATGTGCGATGTTACTAATGCTCTAAAACACTCTGCCAAGCATCAGTATTAAGATTAGAGCGTATTCTCGAAATAGCTCTCATTTGATGATGCATTTTCCGTATGATACTATTGATTTGGGGAACTGGGGACATAAATTCATCAGTAACATAGCTCAGATTTTTAGCCTGCTTCTTGGGAGATATAGAGCAATCACCGATCTGAATGGAATCCGCTTTAAACAATTTACTGGATTGTGATTTTGATGATATGATAAGAAATTCGGATTTGTCATCGTTAAGTTTTAGCCTATTTCTGGTCATCCATCCTCGAATGTCATTAAGACAAGACTCAAGTCTACTGATAGAATCCTTGGAAGCAAGATAGTTGTTGTGTTGAAAATAGTCATATATTTGGGTGTCATCAGCAAAGCTGTGGTTTTGTACCCCATGTCTTCCTATGATTTGACCAATCGGAAGAATGTATAGAAGAAAAAGTAGAGGTCCCAATACAGATCCTTGTGGAACACCTATCCTAACAGCACAGGGTTGAGACACAGACCTGTTTATTTGTACCTTTTATGTTCTATCTTGAAGATATGACTTTA